ATACATTTTTATTTTTTTATTTTTTTTATCCGTCAACATATCTCTAGTTTATCAATTCAATAGGTCTCAAGCAAATAGTTTCATCGTTAAACAACAGCCGATTTAACAAACAGACTACACTATTAGTGTCTAAATCTCCCCCTTCTTCTCTGTCTGCTCTGAGTCTGCGTCTCCCAGCAGCTCAGTGCAGGTAGGGGAATGGCATATTTGCTCTACGTAACTCTAAACTCATAAAATCCCACGCATGCGTAGTTCATTCACCAATGCGATTTTAGAGTGGAAGGAGCTCTCTCCCAGCTAAACAACAGAAAGTAGACAGACCAACTTTACCTCCGTTCTTTCCCCCATCAGACAAACAGTAACACTTAACAGAGCTCACAAACCAACACAAAACATAGAACACAAATCCTACTTTGAAGTTTCTTAACTTCACTTATCCTAATCTGCAGATTTATAGTTATTTTCTTATCCATTACAAAACATATCTATACACTGTTAAAAACTCCTCCCTGTAGGCTCATGCTATTCTAATAGTTAGTATTAATCGTTCTCTTTTTATAGAGACTCATAACATTTTTTACCTTAACGTCCTTCCAGGGGGCTCATATATAGTTAACAATTATTAACGTTCTCACCCACGGAGACTCATAAGATTTTTAACCTTAACTTACATATTTCCTTATAAAAACAAAAACCCCTGTCCTCAACCAATATATATATATGTATATATCTCTAACATAAATCTTATCCTAACATGAGTCGACACACAGTTTAAACACAACAGAGACGTCTTTATTTTATTATTTTTCTCTCTCCCACACACACATACACAGTTTAAGAGGCTTTTTCCGTTCCTACGGACCCCTAAGGCAGTATTCTACCTCCATTGCGCCGTTTTTTCATTGTTCCTAAATTTATGCTACCACGAGTTCGCGGACATCCAATGAGCGGTTACATCAAACATATACTTCGTCAACTATAAGTTGAGCGGTAACTTGTAATAGAATGTATATACCACAACCTCCAGTCCCCGGGACTAACCTAAATTCACCTAATGTGCTTTTAGGATTTTTCGGCCCATCCTAATGATCGCCTCGTTTGAGGGCTTAACATAGATTCGCAATGTCCTACTTTTTTATAAATGTTTCCTTGTCCTTATTCCTTCATTCTATTCTTCAATAGTTATAGACACTCCCCCCTGTTTGCGTTGTTACCAGCGCAAACACATTTTGAAATTTAGAACGGACTCCTATCCCACAGCAAATAACAGCAAAATTGCACACATACAGTGGGGGAAAAAAGTATTTAGTCAGCCAACAATTGTGCAAGTTCTCCCACTTAAAAAGATGAGAGGCCTGTAATTTTCATCATAGGTACACGTCAACTATGACAGACAAAATGAGAAATAAAAATCCAGAAAATCACATTGTAGGATTTTTAATGAATTTATTTGCAAATTATGGTGGAAAATAAGTATTTGGTCAATAACAAAAGTTTCTCAATACTTTGTTATATACCCTTTGTTGGCAATGACACAGGTCAAACGTTTTCTGTAAGTCTTCACAAGGTTTTCACACACTGTTGCTGGTATTTTGGCCCATTCCTCCATGCAGATCTCCTCTAGAGCAGTGATGTTTTGGGGCTGTCGCTGGGCAACACGGACTTTCAACTCCCTCCAAAGATTTTCTATGGGGTTGAGATCTGGAGACTGGCTAGGCCACTCCAGGACCTTGAAATGCTTCTTATGAAGCCACTCCTTCGTTGCCCGGGCGGTGTGTTTGGGATCATTGTCATGCTGAAAGACCCAGCCACGTTTCATCTTCAATGCCCTTGCTGATGGAAGGAGGTTTTCACTCAAAATCCCACTTCTGGTGTCCTTTGACAGCTCTTTGGTCTTGGCCATAGTGGAGTTTGGAGTGTGACTGTTTGAGGTTGTGGACATGTGTCTTTTATACTGATAACAAGTTCAAACAGGTGCCATTAATACAGGTAACGAGTGGAGGACATAGGAGCCTCTTAAAGAAGAAGTTACAGGTCTGTGAGAGCCAGAAATCTTACTTGTTTGTAGGTGACCAAATACTTATTTTCCACCATAATTTGCAAATAAATTCATTAAAAATCCTACAATGTGATTTTCTGGATTTTTTTTATTTTTAAGTGAGAGAACTTGCACAATTGGTGGCTGACTAAATACTTTTTTTTCCCCACTGTGTATATATATATATATATATATATATATACACTACCGTTCAAAAGTTTGGGGCCACTTAGAAATGTCCTTGTTTTCGAAAGGAAAGCATTTTTCTTTTGTCCATTTAAAATAACATCAAATTGATCAGAAATATAGTGTAGACATTGTTAATGCTGTAAATGGATATTGTAGCTGGAAACAGCTGCTTTTAATGGAATATCTACAGAGGCATACAGAAGCCCATTATGCAGAGTTGCAAAGAAAAAGCCATATCTCAGACTGGCCAATAAAAATAAAAGATTAAGATGGGCAGTCTGCCATATGGCTTTTTCTTTGCAACTCTGCCTAGAAGGTCAGCATCCCGGAGTCGCCTCTTCACTGTTGACGTTGAGACTGGTGTTTTGCGGGTACTATTTAATGAAGCTGCCAGTTGAGGACCTGTGAGGCGTCTGTTTCTCAAACTAGACACTCTAATGTATTTGTCCTCTTGCTCAGTTGTTCACCGGGGCCTCCCACTTCTCTTTCTATTCTATTCATGCTGTTCTGTGAAGAGAGTAGTTCACAGCGTTGTACGAGATCTTCAGTTTCTTGCCAATTTTTCGCATGGAATAGCCTTCATTTCTCAGAACAAGAATAGACTGACGAGTTTCAGAAGAAAGTTATTTGTTTCTGGCCATTTTTATCCTGTAATTGAACCCACAATTGCTGATGCTCCAGATACTCAACTAGTCTCAAGAAGCCTTTTTAATTGATAAACTTGGATTACCAAACACAACGTGCCATTGGAACACAGGCCTGATGGTTGCTGATAATGGGCCTCTGTACGCCTATGCAGATATTCCATTAAAAATCAGCCGTTTCCAGCCACAACAGCTATTTACAACATTAACAATGTCTACACTGTATTTCTGATCAGTTTGATGTTATTTTAATGGACAAAAAAATTGCTTTTCTTTCAAAAACAAGGAAACTACCAGTCAAAAGTTTGGACACACCTACTTATTCAAGGGTTTTTCTTTATTTGTACTATTTCTTACATTGTAAAATAATAGTGAAGAAATCAAAACTATGAAATAACACACATGGAATCATGTAGTAACCAATAAAGTGTTAAACAAATGAAAATATACTTTATATTTGAGATTCTTCAAATAGCCACCCTTTGCCTTGATGACAGCTTTGCACACTCTTGAAATTTTCTCAACCAACTTCATGAGGTAGTCACCTGGAATGCATTTCAATTAACAGGTGTGCCTTCTTAAAAGTTAATTTGTGGAATTTCTTTCCTCCTTAATGCGTTTGAGCCAATCAGTTGTGTTGTGACAAGGTAGAATGCAAGGTATACAGAAGATAGCCCAATTTGGTAAAAGACCAAATCCATATTATGGCAAGAACAGCTCAAATAAGCAAAGAGAAATAACAGTCCATCATTACTTTAAGACATGAAGGTCAGTCAATATGGAACATTTCAAGAACTTTGAAGGTTTCTTCAAGTGCAGTCATAAAAACCATCAAGCGCTGTTATGAAACTGGCTCTCATGAGGACCGCCACAGGAATGGAGACCCAAAGTTACCTCTCCTGCAGTGGATAAGTTCATTAGAGTTACCAGCCTCAGAAATTGCAGCCTAAATAAATGCTTCACAGAGTTCAAGTCACAGACACATCTCAACATCAACTGTTCAGAGGGGACTGTGTAAATCAGGCCTTCATGGTCGAATTGCTGCAAAGAAACCACTACTAAAGGACACCAATAAGAAGAAGAGACCTGCTTGGGCCAAGAAACACGAGCAATGGACATTAGACCGGTAGAAATGTGTCCTTTGGTCTGGAGTCCAAATTGGAGATTTTTGGTTCCAACCGCCGTGTCTTTGTGAGACGCGGTGTGGGTGAACGGATGATCTCCGCATGTGTAGTTCCCACCGTAAAGCATGGAGGAGGAGGTGTTATGGTGTGGGGGTGCTTTGCTGGTGACACTCTGTGATTTATTTAGAATTCAAGGAACACTTAACCAGCATGGCTACCACAGCATTCTTCAGCGACACGCCATCCCATCTGGTTTGGGCTTAGTGGGAGTATCATTTTGTTTTTCAACAGGACAATGACCCAACACACCTACAGGCTGTATATGACCAAGAAGGAGAGTGATGGAATGCTGCATCAGATGACCTTGCCTCCACAATCTCCTGACCTCATTCAAATTCAGATGGTTTGGGATAAGTCGGACCGCAGAGTGAAGGAAAAGCAGCCATCAAGTGCCCAGCATATGTGGGAACTCCTTCAAGACTGTTGTAAAAGCGTTCCAGGTGAAGCTGGTTGAGAGAATGCCAAGAGTGTGCAAAGCTGTCATCAAGGCAAAGGGTGGCTATTTGAAGAATCTCAAATATAAACACTTTTTTGGTTACTACATGATTCCATATGTGTTACTTCATAGTTTTGATGTCTTCACTATTATTCTACAATGTAGAAAATAGTAAAAATAAAGAAAAACCCTTGAATGAGTAGGTGTTCAATTTTTTTTGACCGTTAATAATTATTTATATATATATATATTCTAGATTCTGACATTGCTCATTCTGATATTTCTTAATTTATTTATTTTAATTATTTGGAATTTGTGTGTTTTGTATTGACTGTTGGAGCTAGAAACATAAGCATTTCACTGCACCTGTGAGAACATCTGCAAAATATGTGTACTCGACCAATGCATTTGGTTTGTTTAGGTTAAATGAAATGGATTTTGCCATGATGTTTAACAACAAATCATGCAATTAATAAAAATGTCTATTCATCCAGATAAATCCATGCCTAATGGTTTGTGCTCCTCCTCTCTCAGGATCAGTTCCTCCATACTACAGGGAGGTGTATGACGCCATCCGGAGTAAGATAGATGAACGGGTGCAGGTGGAGGTCTTCCAGAGGTTGCTCAGCAGGACAGATCTTCCCAGTGCTGTGCAGGGCCAGGTGAACACAAAACGTTTGCTTTACTTGTCACAGCTATGATTAGAATGCCCACCAAATGTGGAAAGGAAGTTTGTGGTTTGGTTTTTTAGGCTCATGTTTTTGTTGTTATGACACAGAAGCACAGACTGGCTTGTTATGTATTAGGGTTTTCTATCCGCTTCCCTTCTTGGAACTCCAAGAAAAGTGAACAAGACATTCTTCAGAATAGGATGTAGACACTAGACAGAAAATACTTGAAAAACATCTAGCGCTCTTTGATACAAACCATTCAACTCTATCCAAAGACCCTCTCAAGCCTATATTTGTTTTACCACTAAGTACTAAGGGGGTAATTACAATACTAGTTCCAACACCAGTTATTAGTAAGGGTGTTTTCTCCAAACTATCTCCTTGCTGCCTTTTAATTAGTGGTATTTGCTTCAGGAAAGCTTACTCGAAAGTGATGGTATTTGAGGGGATGACGTTTAAAGGTTGTGTTATTAAGTGCACATGGACATGGAAAATATAATGTGTTACACATTATCCATGGAAACACTTCATAGATGTATTTCAGCTGAGGCCTCATGGTTCAGTTTGATGTGTCTTACTGTAATATATCATTACTAAAGTGTTTTCTGCATTTTCTTCTCAACCACTGCTGGATTTAGACCTTGGATTGAGCAACGACCTTTTAAGAGAGTCATATTATGTCCTTGTCTTTTCCAGATTGCTGAGCATGTTGACTACACTGATGGATTCTTAAGCAAGTTGTCCCTCTATAAAGCACTGGCGTTGATTGCACTTGCTCAGCAAGGAAAGCAACCAAGCCCGAAACTCTTGGAGAACTGCATACAAGGTAAGCCTTTGAACTAGTTGTTTTCAAGTGAGGACACCGTCGAAAATGTGTAGCTTAATGAGTAGCTTGACTGTTTAGTATCTAAGGTCAAGAACCCTTATGACTCCTATAAGTTCAGTTCACTATATATTTATTGTGTGAAGTTGAATATGCATGTGACAAGCTAAAGTACACATTGCATTTGCACACAAAGCAAGCAAGTGTGCTGTGCCAAAAAGGTGGTCCTAGTTTTATCATAGTGTGTTGTATGTGTTGGCCGGTTTCCTCTAACCTCTGGGCATTGCGTCCGGGAATACACCAGCTCCCCTCCCATGTCTCTGTAAAAGACATGGCTCACAACCTTTCCCTGCCCTTTCTTTCCTCTAGAACAGCTCTGTGAAAATCACAATGAAAGTTACAGGAATAACTCTTCCCTCTCTCTCATGTACACTTGTATTTCTTGATTATATAAATCAATTTACTTTCACATTCTGCGGCTAGGTTTTTGTTACAGTGTACAGTACCATTAAGTTGGAGAGGAGGATGAGTCTTTGATTTTTCAGAGGTAGCCATTACTCCGAACGCAGCCCTGAGTTAGAGCTCTGTTCCAAAGCTCATATGATTATTTAGGGCCCTCTGTGTTATTTCAGGTGCTGCCAATATGGCAGCTGACTGCTTTCTGTGAAACTGATGTCATGTTTTCTCTGCTGAGCTATGGTAGAACTGGTTTCCTGGTTGTTGTAGGAAGTTGATTAACTCTGCTCATACCTCTCTGTGAAATGTGCAAGGAGGATTGAATTCAGGATCACATTAATCACACCCTCATCACTGTTGTTTGAAAGACTAAAGAGACGTTTGAGTTTAGGATAGAGGCATTTGTGCTTTCTGATGGCGTCAAGTCTAGTTTCCTCAATATTACGAAAGGTGTACCGCAGAGGTCGGAATTGGGACCTGTTCTCTTTACTATTTACAGTGGGGAAAAGTATTTAGTCAGCCACCAATTGTGCAAGTTCTCCCACTTAAAAAGATGAGAGAGGCCTGTAATTTTCATCATAGGTACACGTCAACTATGACAGACAAAATGAGAAAAAAAAACCCAGAAAATCACATTGTAGGATTTTTAATGAATTTATTTGCAAATTATGGTGGAAAATAAGTATTTGGTCAATAACAAAAGTTTCTCAATACTTTGTTATATACCCTTTGTTGGCAATGACACAGGTCAAACGTTTTCTGTAAGTCTTCACAAGGTTTTCACACACTGTTGCTGGTATTTTGGCCCATTCCTCCATGCAGATCTCCTCTAGAGCAGTGATGTTTTGGGGCTGTCGCTGGGCAACACGGGCTTTCAACTCCCTCCAAAGATTTTCTATGGGGTTGAGATCTGGATACTGGCTAGGCTACTCCAGGACCTTGAAATGCTTCTTACGAAGCCACTCCTTCGTTGCCCGGGCGGTGTGTTTGGGATCATTGTCATGCTGAAAGACCCAGTCACGTTTCATCTTCAATGCCCTTGCTGATGGAAGGAGGTTTTCACTCAAAATCTCACGATACATGGCCCCATTTATTCTTTCCTTTACACGGATCAGTCGTCCTGGTCCCTTTGCAGAAAAACAGCCCCAAAGCATGATGTTTCCACCCCCATGCTTCACAGTAGGTATGGTGTTCTTTGGATGCAACTCAGCATTCTTTGTCCTCCAAACACGACGAGTTGAGTTTTTACCAAAAAGTTCTATTTTGGTTTCATCTGACCATATGACATTCTCCCAATCCTCTTCTGGATCATCCAAATGCACTCGAGCAAACTTCAGACGGGCCTGGACATGTACTGGCTTAAGCAGGGGGACACGTCTGGCACTGTAGGATTTGAGTCCCTGGCTTTGTTACTTTGGCCCCAGCTCTCTGCAGGTCATTCACTAGGTCCCCCCGTGTGGTTCTGGGATTTTTGCTCACTGTTCTTGTGATCATTTTGACCCCACGGGGTGAGATCTTGCGTGGAGCTCCAGATCGAGGGAGATTATCAGTGGTCTTGTATGTCTTCCATTTCCTAATAATTGCTCCCACTGTTGCTTTCTTCAAACCAAGCTGCTTACCTATTGCAGATTCAGTCTTCCCAGCCTGGTGCAGGTCTACCATTTTGTTTCTGGTGTCCTTTGACAGCTCTTTGGTCTTGGCCATAGTGGAGTTTGGAGTGTGACTGTTTGAGGTTGTGGACAGGTGTCTTTTATACTGATAACAAGTTCAAACAGGTGCCATTAATACAGGTAACGAGTGGAGGACAGAGGAGCCTCTTAAAGAAGAAGTTACAGGTCTGTGAGAGCCAGAAATCTTGCTTGTTTGTAGGTGACCAAATACTTATTTTCCACCATAATTTACAAATAAATTCATAAAAAATCCTACAATGTGATTTTCTGGAAATTTTTTCCTCAATTTGTCTGTCATAGTTGACGTGTACCTATGATGAAAATTACAGGCCTCTCTCATCTTTTTAAGTGGGAGAACTTGCACAATTGGTGGCTGACTAAATACTTTTTTCCCCACTGTATATACAGTGCCGTGAAAAAGTATCTGCCCCCTTTCTAATTTTCTCTACTTTTGCATATTCTTTATACTTAATGTTATCAGATCTTTAACAAAAACCTAACTTAGATAAAGGGAACCTGAGTGAACAAATAACACTACAATTACATATTTATTTCATAAATAAAGTTATGCAACACCCAATGCCCCTGTGTGAAAAAGTAATTGCCCCCTTACACTCAATAACTGGTTGTGCCACCTTTAGCACAACCATGAACCAAACGCTTCCTGTAGTTGTTGATCAGTCTCTCATGTCGCTGTGGAGGAATTTTGGCCCACTCTTCCATGCAGAACTGCTGTAACTCAGCGACATTTGTGGGTTTTCAAGCATGAACTGCTTGTTTCAAGTCCTGCCACAACATCTCAATTGGGATTAGGTCTGGACTTTGACTAGGCCATTCCTAAACTTAAAATGTGTTGCTTTTTAGCCATTTTTATGTAGACTTGATTGTGTGTTTTGGATCATTGTCTTGCTGCATGGTCCAGCTGCGCTTCAGCTCACAGACGGATGGCCTGATATTCTCCTGTAGAATTCTCTGATACAGAGCAGAATTCATGGTTCCTTCTATTACGGGATGTCGTCCAGGTCCTGAGGCAGCAAAGCATCCCCAAACCATCACACTACCACCACCATGCTTGACCGTTGGTTTGAGGTTCTTACTGGGGAATGCAGTGTTTGGTTTTCGCCAGGCATAATGGGTCCCATGTTGTCCAAAAAGTTATACTTTTGAATCATCTTTTGAAACAATCATAGAACATTCTTGCAAGAATCTTGATGATCATCCAGGTGCTTTTTGGCAAACTTGAGTCAACTTTTTGGACGACATGGGTGCCATTATGCTTGGCAAAAACCAAACACTGCATTCCACAGTTGACCAAGCTATGTTAGAGCTGCGATCAGATTTTGTTGCATTACAGAAAGCCCTTGTTGATTTAAAACTTGTACTTAATGCGGGCAAAACTAAATATATGTTGTTCTCTAAGATGAGCTGCATATCCACTAATTGGATGGTTCTCTCACCGCCTATAAATATCGGAGCGTTTGGATTGATAAAAATCTAACGTTTAAAAAACATACTGATTAGCTAGTTAAAAAGCTAAGATTTAATGTGGGCTTCTTTTTTAGAAATATATCTTGTCTCTCCATGAACAGCAGGAAGCAGATTGTGCAATCAACTTTCCTGCCAGTTCTTGACTATGGTGACACCATTTACCAGACTGCAGTAGCCACTACTCTTAAATCATTGGATGCCATCTACCTTAGCAAGCTTCACTGACAGTTTTAATACTCATCACTGCATCCTGTATCAGAAGGTTGGCTGGACCTCACTAAAACCCTGTAGATCACTTAATTGCTCCCTTATTCTTTACAAGGCTCTGCTCCACAAGTTTCCAACATACCTCACTTCCCTGTTGAAATATTAAAATATAAGATTCCAATCCCGTTCTGAAGTTAACTCTTGAGGTCCCAGTTGTCTCCACAAAGTTTGGTAAATTTGCTTTTAGTTTTAACGCACCACAGTAATGGAATACCTTACTAAACAAATTACACCTGGATTCCTTGGTGCCGATAGGGCAGTTTTAAAACTCTGTTGTTAAATGAGTTCACTGAAGTGTGCAGTTGTTTCAATTGTCTATTATAACTTGTTGTAATAATCTTATGTAATGTAGTTTATTTTTTATCTTCTGTTGTTGTATTGATGACATTTTTGTCCTCAAGGATCCTTCAGATACTTGAATTCTCCCATTCACATAAGGGAGGTGAAATGTCAAATGTACACTGGAACATGCTTGCTTTTCCCACACAACATGGATGTGTGTAGTAACATTTTTAAATTCAAACCTGCACTACAGGGAATCATAAATGTTGTCTAATAGTTGAATACAGCTGGATGTGTACACTTTGTCTGTGAGCATAGCTGTGCTGATTGCCTTCTAGATAAATAAGTAGATGAGAGCATTGGTTACTCATGTTTGACTTGGTGTTTGTTTGAAAGAGTTCCCTAAGCCCCAACTTGGTGAGTTCAAGGACCTCCAGAATCTGAGGATGCAGCCAACTCAGGAGAGCCCCCTCACGGTGTCCCAGACCCTGGGCAAGCTGCTGGCCAGGGATACAGTCCAGGTGGAGCTAATTCCTGAGAAGAAGGGTCTGTTCCTCAAACACGTGGAGTACCAGATCACCAGCCAGGTGAAGGCTGCATTTAATTATATATGATCGTAACAAAAATGGGCTTCGTTAGAAGAAGGAAATTATTCATAGAAAAGGTCAAGTACATACTTTTACCATGTATTTAACTTTTTACTTTTACTAGGAATTTTGATCATAACTCCAAAAAGCCAGTAATTCACTCTGGCTCTATTGCTGGCTCCTCAATTATTTCTGGATTTTTGGCTTGGTGAAACGAATGGCTTTAATCCACGTTATAAAGGGTCCATCTAAGAATTAATGTATACATACTGTACATTGCATCGTTTACACTTGATGCCTCAGCTGAACAGAGCTGGTGTTGTTTCTGTGCAGTGAGCATTCACAATCAGTATGAACCAAAGCCAACGCATGACAAACACATCCATTGTCAATATATTTGTTGAATTTACAACCCAAAGCATTATGTTATTTTGTACATCTCGGTTATTCACTGATAATGTTTGTTTTAACTTTTGTAGCATTTTAAGATATCAGTTTACCGGCGGTACAGTGATTTCGATGTCTTCCACGAGCTCCTGCTGCAGAGGTTTGCCTACAGAATGGTGCCTGCACTGCCGCCTAAGAGAATGCTGAAAGGAGGTATATATAGGATGTCAGTCAGAACATTTGCTTATTAGGAGGAGAGTGAGGCTTTGATCTGTAGATAATAGTGTTCCAATCTGCATCAGAGCTGGGGTCCCGCTGCCCCAAGGGAACTCCAATGGTATTAATCCAACTTCACTCCGTGTTCCTACAGCAGATATGAACTATGTCTTTATATTATCATTATTAAATACAAATGTTATTACTTTATGACTGTATTCAGGGTTGGGCGAATAACTTGAAAAATGTAATCCGTGACTGATTACAGTTACATGATAAATAAAGTAATCAGTAAAGTAATCCTTTGGATTTCTCAAAATTAGTAACCTAATCTGATTACATTTGGATTACTTTTGCATTACTTTCACTTCTAACACCCAGACATATTTTTAAAATGCTTAAAAATATAGCTTTTTTTTTTCTTTTTTTACATGGGTATTTCCAAGAAATAAATAGTTTATTCTAACATCATGTTCAAGCACAAATGCATGATTCCAGATATTTTTATGTGCAACCTAAACCAGTGATTGTCATGAATTTGGGGTTTGGCAACTAGGCAATTGTTGTTATTATTTTACTATGAAAATATGGTTCCAGAATTTTCATATTTATTTTGTTCAATAGATAATTATTTGTCTACATCTTTTTGGGCACTAATATCATATAGGCTAATTTATTTGGGACTAATTCCCCAACTGAGGAAGTGGTTAGCTAGATTGCTAACTCAAAATATAGCCTATTATAATCCCAGTTATATGTAATCCGTTATTACCCAACCCTGACTGTATTACATAAAACTGTAAGACATCATCTGTTCTCTTTTACGGAAGCAGAACAACTGATTATTTTGGCTCTTTAACTGACCTCTGTCTTTCTACAGTCCTGACCTCCATGTCTGAGCGGGACTTTATAGAGGGAAGGCGGCGTGCTCTGGCCCGGTTCATCAACCTAGTGGCACGACACCCCTTCTTCTCAGAGGACGAACTGGTCAAGACCTTTCTCACCTTCAACGGCTCGGTATGTCTCTGCTACTGAAAAGACCACCTTGCATCATCTCTGCTAGTTGTCTTCGCCAAGATCACTTGTTATTGGGTTTGCCACGTACTGCTCACACAACTTTACTCTCTCTCTCTCTCAGGACGTTCAAGTGAAAATGCGTGATGCTTGCAAGAAAATGGGAGATGAATTCATGACGAATAGAATGGCAACTCTGGCAAAGGTTTGTGTTGTTTCTATTATGAAATACTTGATCAAATGACTTAGCTATTTGAAATCCTACTGAGATGCAGCAGTGTGAGTCTTTGTACATCTGTGCAATAGGAATATCTACCAGCTGATATCCAGGCCCAGTTTTCATCAAGCAGGGAACTGATCAAGAATATCCACAACAGCTTTCACAAGCTGCGGGACCGGGCAGAGAAGATGGCCGAGCGCTCCAAGGAAAACGCCACTGATTTGCTAATGTTTGGAAGGGAGCTCAGGTACAGAACTCAGCATTTAAGGGCATAAAGCGCTCTTTCTCTATCGCCACTCTCTACACAAGTGTTTTGGCCCAAGGAAACGTATTATGTTAGCTATCCCACCCATACAACGTTTGTGGGGGGGGGGGTTTGGGGAAGAAAATGTTGGCAATTGTAAAGGATTTGTTTTCTTTTCCTTTTCATGGTTCTCACTTCAAATCGTTTTTGTCAGCCGAGACACAGTACTGGTCCAGCTTCACTAGATATGCTTTCTGTTGCAGTACACTGGGCTCCGATGGTTCACCCATTCCCTCTCTGGCCTCATCCCAAAGCACCTGGGGCATTCTCCGTCAGTCTCTGAAAGGCCTTTCCGTGGAGTTTGCTCTGCTAGCCGACAAAGGTGCTCAGCAGGTACAATCCAGCCCACTGTATACATACCACCTGCTCTACTGTGCTATTGCCAAACTCTACCTGCGTGCAAAACATAATAATTTATTCATTGATATCTTAAGGGGAGGAGAGAAGAGGATGATGTTGTGGAAAAACTGAATCTATTCTTGGATTTACTGCAATCATACAGAGTAAGTTTGTTTGAGAAATGAAAAAATACAGTTACTGAAGAACTATGGAACAACATGTTAATACAATGTTACTAGTGTAATTACAAATTTACTACACATGTATAAGAGCAACTTAATTTAGAGTGTTACCTATATATCTTTGTCCCGTGTGGCTCAGTTGGTAGAGTCATTTCTTACCCAGTGTGTGTGTGTTGTGTTGTGTTCCATAGGATCTGTGTGAGCGGCATGAGAAGGGAGTATTGCACGAGCACCAGAAAGCGCTGCAGAAGTATGGTATGATGAAGAGGCAGATGATGAGTGCCACAGTGCAGCCCAAAGAGCAGGTGTCTGTGGAGCAACTGGAGTCTCGCATTGTGCAGGTTTTCTTTCTCATTCATTCTGTCTTTCCCTTCCCCTTTCTTTCTCTCTCTCTCTCTCTCACTCTCTTTCACTCAGTGTGCTTGAAAATGCTGTTCCTTCCTCATTCACTCAGGGTTGTCACACGTCAAATCAACACTGTTTTGACATTATTAATACAGCTTTGTCAGCTTCATAGCACCCCTGCCAACATGAACACTATTCAATCTTCATTATGCTGAGACCAAACATCACAGGCCAACCCAACCTCCCTCGGAGAGACTGTGTCCTCTCTGACATTGAGAGGAAGGAGGGAACAGCATTTTCTCATATGCCATCATTGGGGAGTTGATTGATACCCTGGTATAAGGATTGATATCCTGGTATATCCTACCACATTTCTCATACTAAACCATCTTAGGACGATATTGCATTTGACAGTTGGGCATTTCAGCCTTTAGAATGGATCTCATATGTCATGTTTTTCAACACACTGACTCCTACAGACAAGGCCATGACAGCATAGTCTTATGATCAATGACTTTGTTCCTCTTGATAACCATCATATGGTTGTGGTTTGTGAAGTAATGGTTTGTATCCTCCCCTAACAGCAAGAGAACGCCATTCAGACCATGGAACTGCGGAACTACTTCTCCCTGTTCTGCCTTCACCAGGAGACTCAGCTCATCTTCACTTACCTGCCCATCACCTCTCACATCCTGGGAGCCTTCGTCAACTCACAGGTCCAAGGACACCAAGAGGTGAGACTCACCTGGAAATATACAGTGTCATGCATGGATTTCTAAGGATTGAGTTGAAGCAGTAGAGGTCACAGTTCATTAGGGGTGTGTGTGGATTGTAACTAGAATTGTAATCTTTAATAGATACACAATTATAAGATGATCGTCTTGGAATTTTGGTCAGAGGATGCTTTCACTATAACAGACTTTTTTGTTTGTTCGATAACTAGATGGGTGCAGTGTGGAATGATCTCCAGCCGAAGCTTGGGTGTCTCTTTGGTGTCAATGGAATGCAATCCCCTCCTCTTACACCCAAGTAGACTCCCATGCTCTCTCAACAAGCAATGAAGATGCTGCTTTGCAAGCCAAGATACAGTCAAAGTCTCAGAAGGGACTGATGGTGAACTGTTTTCATAAAACCTTGAAAAACACTACAAACTGTGCCTTAAGTAACAGTGGTGTGGTGGAGGGTAAACGCAAGTAGCCTAATGCAGTTTACTCACCTTTTTTTCTTTATGGAACAGTTTATCCACCTTTTGCAGAAAAATGCATTGAAGTATAGGGAGTGTTACTTTTTTCTCTGCTACTGGTGATCAGTTTACCCGCCTTTTTTTTTTTTACCACTGCATCACTGATTTCAATGAATGGATGTGGTCTGCAGCTCATGATATATTATACAGTATGTGCATCCTCATTAGGGATGTCACAGAGGTTGATCAAAGGAGCTCATTGGGAAGTGGAAGAGTGCTTTGAAGAATGTGTGCTGCTGATGCTGCACCATCGTTGATGCTGCTTTGCTGTACGAGAAGAGGACAATATTGCTTTCATAATTGATATACGGGGAACGTTTTGTTGAAAAGAAACCCACAAAAAGCTGGACCTTTCTGTGTTATTTTGTAGCTCACTGCCTTTACCATATGAGGGACTTCTTACCTACACTTCTTGGAGGATTATTCAGCTATGTTGAGGTATAATGTAGTGTCTTATTGCAGGCAGACAAATGTAAGAATGTATGTGCATGTAAGAAAACACTAATTAAGCTGATTGAAGATGTTGCCACACAGGGAAGATGTGTTTCCTGGCCGCAGCCAGGGGGTGGCAATATACCCTTTGTGTTTAAAATGACTAGTGTAAATGTTTAAGATGTTTAGAAAGATTCTAATCAGGGAACAGACTCATTTCCAAAAGACAGGCAATCCAATATATATTTAAGGAAATGTAGTAGCAGCATGCTATTCAATGGTTTGTTATAAAGTACAACATAGGTATTAATCATCCTACTGACCACACTTGTGCAATTGGGCTTGCTAGCTTGTTGTCTTTAACTTCATGCAAAGGACTTCAGATTCTTTGCTTCAATCGAATCTTAGTTGCAATACTGTGAAAAGCTACTTCAGTTTCTACGCCTGAGCCAAGCAAGCTATTAAGAGGAAGAAGAGGTTTGATCAAATTAAAATAATGTGTGATTTATGGCTGTTATAACACTCCACGTGAACATACCAAAGAAACATGCTACAGTGCCACATAGTCATTAGTGTAATTATCATGTAATGTTTTATTTCAGGTAGAAATTAAATGTGCTCTGTGTTAATGCTTCTAACCTGTTTGCAATGTTTCAGTTTCAATTAAGATATGGTGGTTCAGTGTTTTCTCAATGTAGATTTAAATAAAACTAGATTGAATATTTTTCTTTGTGTATGTAATATTCTGATTTATCTTGTCCGCTTTTTCAAGAACACACCCAAAGATTTATCTTGTCCTTTTATTCAAAGGTATACATTACGATTCCATGTCTAAAGAATAAGATTGTTGGTAAAGTTTGTCATTATTTGATCTGATTAAAAGTTTAACCAGCAATTTTTCACTAACAATTGAAGGTTTACGTAACCACCCTCTTCTTGCAGGATGGGCAAATTGCATGTGTTTTACACGTAATTAATGTACATGAATGAGGCTGTGTAAGAAAACAAAATGTATCCCTATTACAACTGAGTAATATTAGAGAGCTCCGGGGCAATACATTGTTATTCTATGCATTATTTTTAGTCTTCTCTGTGGAACTGTTAATTGGTTCCTCACAAGTTCGTATTATTATGTCATGAGCTTATCTTTGGCAAGTCTCAGATAATAAGAGGAACAAATGTTTTATATGATCTTTGAGAAAGAAAAGCAGAAATAGGTGAAGGATGTAGATACAGGAAAGTTTAACTATTGTACAGTTTTATGTTGAATCTCACTTGACATTAAATAAAAGGTATCAGATACCAGCCTCATTATTACTCTTATGGTACTAAATTGAATTAAACACGATGTTGAACAATCAAAATCATTGTCATTCCAATTTACCATACCACCTTTTTGAGAAAGTAACAAAAGAGGTGCATTCGCACATACTTCAACAATTTAATATAAACACAATAGTAGAATGGGATACATATTGTTCTCAACTGGCCTACCTGGTTAAATAAAGGTGAAATAAAATAAAATAAATGTCATCAACATTTACACATCCAGTATTTCGTTTTGGCTCAGTGGGAATTTTTAGGACTGATTCACAGGCATATGGTTATCACTGGCAACTAAAAGCTTTTGTAAATTTACAAAGATCTGGAGATTTGAAGGCACTGAATATGAACAAGGGCAGCTGGAATCAGTAGGGATTCTGCAGGTAGGCAACATGAGGGGATGATCTTTGATACAGTATGAATGAGTCAGAGGCCAGTAGTCTGTCTTAAAGCTTGTCTACCACCTCCAACTTGTGATCGATGATTAAGTCATGACCCTGAAATTTGAAGTAGCCCAAGAACTTCTTCTTTTGAAGCATCAGTGGAAACCACAGAACATCATCAACCCACATTTGACTGAAGGGTATCTTGTCAGAGTCAAACCACTGTGGCCTCATCTCTATAAGAGAAAAAGTATAAGTTAGTGAGCTTTGTCAGACATCAGTCTTAAGAAATGTCCATAAAAAGGCATGTAGTATAGGGTCAGCAGTTTTTTTCCAGGAAAACTATGGGGACTACGATTATAGCCTATTGGGCCATGAGTTTATCCTGGTCACAAACCTCCTGGCCCTAAATAGAATGCATGAGATTGAGAATGAATACCATCTGACTCTGTTGGCTCCCCGTTGTAGTTTTCAGCTCGGAAAACATGGACGTCAAGCAGCTCTGTTTCTCCGATGAATTCAAATTTGATATTTCCAATCTTATTAAGTGCATCCACTGTGAGGCCACATTCCTCCTGCAGTTCTCTGGAGAGAACAAATAGTTTGTAAGTAGAGAGAAAGTAGCAGGAAAGTGTGTTGCCTTCAGACCAAAGTAGGAAAAAACTAGATAGCAGGCCTCATAACAGGCATGCCTACTGTAACGTCACAATATGACATGTATGAGGGTATACCGTGTTAGATACTGCCCAGTGCTGGAATCTGGTTACATGATTTTACATGCAAATTGTTAAACACAACTGTAGGAAAAACTATTTTTCAAGACACATCCAACTACCGAGGACTGCAACCAATCTCACCGCCTGGCAGCCTCTTCAATAGTCTCCCCAGATTGGACTTTGCCACCAAACCCATTCCACTTCCCTGCGCCGAACCCTCTCTTCTTCATGCCCAGCAGCACCCGTCCAGGCTGCACCACCAGCACCAGGGTCAGCAGCTTGTTGGTAAACATTGGACCTGTAATATACATAATCACTATGTAATAATCAGTAGACCACAATCCATGGATAATCTCACTCTCTTTGTTGCATCGAAGCTACAGTATCTCTAGAGATGATACACAGCAGATTATTGAGAAGCATTCTGTAAAGTTCTTTGCTGCCAAAACACTCTATTGTAAGAGTTCTCGTATGCAAGACATCACAGCAGCAAACTTAAACTTGTAGCCTTTTATTGCCTTCTTCAAGTAGACTTGAAGTAAACCTCCATGCAAATAACTTACCTTTATAGCAACTTTTAGGTTGTCAATCTAGTCCTTAAGTGATTTTCATAGATTAGAGTTATCCAGAAGAAATAACGAATTTCTCCAATCCCGCTTTTACAGTAGCAAGGCCTGCCATGTGATTGTATTCAACATGTCGAACACTGACGAACTTCTTTCTTCTTCAGTGGGGTTTATCAGCGGTTGGCATCCAACGTTATGGTGCATTACCGCCACCTACTGTACTGGAGTGTGGGCCAGAGACAGGGATAATCTAAATCCTACTTATCAGCCCCGTTGCTCTTAAAAAAGATAACAACATTTTTGAGACTATATCTAATGACGTTCTACTCAATTTACTCCTTAAACTAATTTCCTGTATCCCCTTCTCCCTCATACTAGATCTCATCCGGGCACTGAGCTGTAGTGTACGATATCGATATAAACAATTTAGGATAAGGTCGGTCGTTTTAGTTAAATATCTGTAAAAATGTGTTACCCTCAAATATTGTCGACTAGAAACAGAAGTATAATGCCACACCATTTCAAAACAATTCTATAGCAGGTGAGATCAATTGCTGTAGTATTACAGTAACAGCTTTAATTACGCAACCTCATAATTTAACAAATTTGAAAACAAAATTATTTTCACACGTTATAACTTTTCCTAAATAAGTAGATTTGCGTAGATTATGTGCATCCTTAACGTTCTCGGATACATTAATTAGCTGCGCTCAATTTAGCTCGCGCGGCGCGCCGGGTAGGCAGATCACGCATCATTCAATGTTGCCCTGCAGGAATACCGCGAGCGCTAAATCGCAGAGTCGGCAGCCTTTGACTAAATCGAGCGTATCCAAACAAAATCACGTGATCAGGAAGTGCAGCTATAAAGTCAAACTAAATGCTGTCTGCTAGCAGCATTACATCTAGCTAAACAATGTGGCACTCAGTGTTACAAAAATCATATCTACATACCTCTGTACATCTCCTAAAAAAGGCTGCGTATAATCTGAAAGGAAAGAGTACTGCTGATCAGCGTTGGATAGTTCGGCAGCTTAATGACCCTTTTGTGAAGGCTGCCCATGTGCACAACTACCGCTGTAGAAGCGCCTTCAAACTGCTGGAGATCGATGACAAATACAAACTTTTAAAACCTGGATTCAACGTAATAGATTGTGGTGCTGCACCGGGTGCTTGGAGCCAGATAGCTGTTCACAGGGTCAACTCAACTGGGGCTAGTGAGTGCATCTTGTATTTACCCAACTGACATATTAACACATGACATGCTGTTATAATTAATATACCAGCCAGGCCAAATATATATTTCTCTGCATCTGACATTGTTCTGTCTGTCATGTTTATTTGTATTTATTTATTTATTTATTTATTTATTTATTTAACCTTTATTTTATCAGGGAGTCATACTGAGATGTTCGGTACAGTGGGACTTTTTGTAAAAGGGCTTTATAAATGAAAACATAGCAATGTATCAACCTACATTGACCTCTGTCTGGTCCTCTGTAGCTCAATTGGTAGAGCATGGCGCTTGTAACGCCAGGGTAGTGGGTTCGATCCCCGGGACCAACCATACGTTAAAAAAATGTATGCACACATGACTGTAAGTCGCTTTGGATAAAAGCGTCTGCTACATGGCATATTATTACGTGACATCAAAGAGGGCCAACCAACTTTCTGATAGAGAATGCAGTGATGAGTACTAAAATTGTCGCCCGTAATAAAGCATAGTACGCTATGATAAACTGTATCTAACGGCTGTAATGAAGTGGCAACTGCCTTCATATAGTCCCCTGTAGCTGGTAGAGCATGGCGCTTGCAATGCCAGGGTTGTGGGTTCGTTTCCCACGGGGGGCCAGTATGAAAATGTATGCACTCACTAACTGTAAGTCGCCCTGGATAAGAGCGTCTGCTAAATGACTAAAATGTGAACAAAATAGACTCTTAAGGATTAAGGCCTCTCTATACTAAAATGTAATATACAGTGCCTTGCAAAAGTATACATCCCCCTTGGCATTTTTCCTATTTTGTTGCATTACAACCTGTAATTTAAATGGATTTCTATTTGGATTTCATGTAATGGACATAAACCAAATAGTCAAAATTGATAAAGTGAAATGAAAAAAATCACTTATTTAAAGAAAATTATAAAAAATAAGTTACAGAAAAGTGGTGCATGCATATTTTATTTAATTTTTTATTTCACCTTTATTTAACCAGGTAAGCCAGTTGAGAACAAGTTCTCATTTACAACTGCGACCTGGCCAAGATAAAGCAAAGCAGTGCGATTAAAAACAACAACAGAGTTACGTATGGGGTAAAACAAAACATAAAGTCAAAAATACCACAGAAAATATATATACAGTGTGTGCAAATGTAGCAAGTTATGGAGGTAAGGCAATAAATAGGCCATAGTGCAAAATAATTACAATTAGTATTAACACTGGAATGATAGATGTGCAAGAGATGATGTGCAAATAGAGATACTGGGGTGCAAATGAGCAAAATAAATAACAATATGGGGATGAGGTAGTTGAGTGGGCTAATTTCAGAAGGGCTGTGTACAGGTGCAGTGATCGGTAAGGTGCTCTGACAACTGATGCTTAAAGTTAGTGAGGGAGATAAGTGTCTCCAGCTTCAGAGATTTTTGCAGTTCGTTCCAGACATTGGCAGCAGAGAACTGGAAGGAATGGCGGCCAAAGGTGGTGTTGGCTTTGGGGATGACCAGTGAGATATACCTGCTGGAGCGCATACTACGGGTGGGTGTTGCTATGGTGACCAATGAGCTAAGATAAGTCAGAGATTTGCCTAGCAGTGATTTATAGATGGCCTGGAGCCAGTGGGTTTGGCGACGAATATGTAGTGACGACCAGCCAATTAGAGCGTACAGGTCACAGTGGTGGGTAGTACAGTGGGGGAAAAAAGTATTTAGTCAGCCACCAATTGTGCAAGTTCTCCCACTTAAAAAGATGAGAGAGGCCTGTAATTTTCATCATAGGTACACGTCAACTATGACAGACAAAATGAGAGAAAAAAAATCCAGAAAATCACATTGTAGGATTTTTAATGAATTTATTTGCAAATTATGGTGGAAAATAAGTATTTGGTCAATAACAAAAGTTTCTCAATGCTTTGTTATATACCCTTTGTTGGCAATGACACAGGTCAAACGTTTTCTGTAAGTCTTCACAAGGTTTTCACACACTGTTGCTGGTATTTTGGCCCATTCCTCCATGCAGATCTCCTCTAGAGCCGTGATGTTTTGGGGCTGTCGCTGGGCAACACGGACTTTCAACTCCCTCCAAAGATTTTCTATGGGGTTGAGATCTGGAGACTGGCTAGGCCACTCCAGGACCTTGAAATGCTTCTTACGAAGCCACTCCTTCGTTGCCCGGGCGGTGTGTTTGGGATCATTGTCATGCTGAAAGACCCAGCCACGTTTCATCTTCAATGCCCTTGCTGATGGAAGGAGGTTTTCACTCAAAATCTCACGATACATGGCCCCATTCATTCTTTCCTTTACACGGATCAGTCGTCCTGGTCCCTTTGCAGAAAAACAGCCCCAAAGCATGATGTTTCCACCCCCATGCTTCACAGTAGGTATGGTGTTCTTTGGATGCAACTCAGCATTCTTTGTCCTCCAAACACGACGAGTTGAGTTTTTACCAAAAAGTTATATTTTGGTTTCATCTGACCATATGACATTCTCCCAATCCTCTTCTGGATCATCCAAATGCACTCTAGCAAACTTCAGACGGGCCTGGACATGTACTGGTTTAAGCAGGGGGACACGTCTGGCACTGCAGGATTTGAGTCCCTGGCGGCATAGTGTGTTACTGATGGTAGGCTTTGTTACTTTGGTCCCAGCTCTCTGCAGGTCATTCACTAGGTCCCCCCGTGTGGTTCTGGGATTTTTGCTCACCGTTCTTGTGATCATTTTGACCCCACGGGGTGAGATCTTGCGTGGAGCCCCAGATCGAGGGAGATTATCAGTGGTCTTGTATGTCTTCCATTTCCTAATAATTGCTCCCACAGTTGATTTCTTCAAACCAAGCTGCTTACCTATTGCAGATTCAGTCTTCCCAGCCTGGTGCAGGTCTACAATTTTGTTTCTGGTGTCCTTTGACAGCTCTTTGGTCTTGGCCATAGTGGAGTTTGGAGTGTGACTGTTTGAGGTTGTGGACAGGTGTCTTTTATACTGATAACAAATTCAAACAGGTGCCATTAATACAGGTAACGAGTGGAGGACAGAGGAGCCTCTTAAAGAATAAGTTACAGGTCTGTGAGAGCCAGAAATCTTGCTTGTTTTTTAGGTGACCAAATACTTATTTTCCACCATAATTTGCAAATAAATTCATTAAAAAATCCTACAATGTGATTTTCTTTTCTCAATTTGTCTGTCATAGTTGACGTGTACCTATGATGAAAATTACAGGCCTCTCATCTTTTTAAGTGGGAGAACTTGCACAATTGGTGGCTGACTAAATACTTTTTTCCCCCACTGTATGTCTCTATAAGCTTGGCACATCTAGCTACTGGGATTAGCTCCAGCTCCTTCAAGTTGGATGGGTTCTGCTGGTGTACAGCAATCTTTATAACCCAACCCTGATCTGTACTTCTCCACAACTTTGTCCCTGACCTGTTTGGAGAGCTCCTTGATCTTCATGGTGCTGCTTGCTTGGTGGTGCCCCTTGCTTAGTGGTGTTGCAGACTCTGAGGCCTTTCAGAACAGGTGTATACAGTGGGGAGAACAAGTATTTGATACACTGCTGATTTTGCAGGTTTTCCTACTTACAAAGCATGTAGACGTCTGTAATTTTTTATCATAGGTACACTTCAACTCTGAGAGACGGAATCTAAAACAAAAATCCAGAAAATCACATTGAATGATTTTAAAGTAATTAATCTGCATTTTATTGCATGAAATAAGTATTTGATCACCTACCAAACAGTAAGAATTCCGGCTCACAGACCTGTTAGTTTTTCTTTAAGAAGCCATCCTGTTCTCCACTCATTACCTGTATTAACTGCACCTGTTTGAACTCGTTACCTGTATAAAAACACCTGTCCACACACTCAATCAAACAGACTCCAACCTCTCCACAATGGCCAAGACCAGAGAGCTGTGTAAGGACATCAGGGATAAAATTGTAGACCTGCACAAGGCTGGGATGGGC